CTTTTGTTTTTAACAGCCATGTGTAAGAGTTCTTTCCGTCTGAGTCGTACTTCCAAAAGTGAATATTGTTAGAATTTTTAAACTTCTGCCCATCACAGATTTGTATGAAACATCGATTGCCAATCGGTAAAGTATTTTCACACCCTGATTTGCATTTTTCCAATTAAGATGAAGGTTGAACATATCTTTCTATTATTTTTAGCAGTTTCTGCTTCTATTTCCTCCCTGTTCACACTCTTAAAATCCGTTTTTCATTGAGTATTTTGCCTTCCACTATGGATCTAAAGGAGCTCTTCATGGACCCTTGGTTCTAGCCATCTGCCAATTTATCATGTTACAAACGCATCTTTCCAGTGGATAATTTGTTGTTTTACACTCTTTGAAGTGTCTGTGATGAATAAAAACATCTTGTTTCTTCTCAAATAGTTGATGATAAATACATGTTTGTTTTAATATAGAGTAATTTTAAGTATCTCAGGTGAAAGATTTAATGTAGATTTTACTTTTACAATGTAGCACCGGGGCTTCCGGTGGGCCCTGAGTCCACGTGGGCCTTCCCTCAGGAGCCCTGCTTAGATGTGGGCCATCAGAGGTGCCCACTGCTCTGGGCATGCTCCTTTGTCCCTGAGTCAGTCGCTTCACTGCAGAGGGGCACTGTGAGCTTGGGCCTGGATGACAGGGTATCGGTGGGGAAATCCGAAGAGCACCAGATCTTAACCCATCTCATTCTGTGACTCTGGGAATCCTATCACCCCCAACAGTTTCCTCTAAGCAACAGCTGAAATCTCAACACCATGGGACCGGCAGATGGCATAACGGGTATGTAGCTGGACTCCCATATAGTCAACTGCAGTTTGAGGCCCAGACCGAGCAGCTTAAACCTCACACCGGGCACGTGTGCATGCGTGCACAAGATCCCAAGGGGAGAATGGAGGAGAAGGGATTGTGGCGTGGTCATCCCCCAGGGGGTGATTTCTCACTATCTGTCTCCCTGTCTCTCTCTGTCTTTCCTGTGAGCACATGCTCTCTATAGCAAAAATCTCTCTCTAATAAACGAAACACGAACACCAAAGAAATCTCAACACCAAAATGCAAGAGTGACAGTGTCTTAAAAAATAAGACTCGTTAATGATTTTTTTTCTGCTGTAGGGTACATGCGTATGCCAGAGAGACAGAGTGAGAGAGAGAGAGGGACAGCATCACTCATCAAACCACTGTGCTCAGGCTGAAATGCCCGGCCTTCACCCCTCACTCAGTCACCAGGGGAGCGGCTGCCATGGGCAGGGTATGACCTCAGCAAGGTGGCTCTCTGTGGTCATGAGGCCCTGGGAGGAGCGGGCACCAAAGGCTGATCACGCCTGCCCTCCCAGCTGCTGACGTGCAAGTCTTTTCTCAAATGGACGTTTGGGCGAGGCATCTCCAAGACTAACGCTCGCCCCAGTCAGGCCCCCCGAATGTCTGTAGCCACTCAACACCACTTTCAAAGTTGGGGCAGTGACAGAAAAGTTAGGACGGGAAGAGAAAGTGGCCTTAGCCAGTTATGGCTCTAAATGGCTTTCATTGCTGACGTCAAAAAAACGTGCGACCACTTGGAAAAATTGTGGGAGCCTTTCCTGAGACTTGGGTTTTACAGAGTTTCTTAAATCTGTGAGTATGGCCAAAGTGTTGCATCCCCGAAAGAACCACGGCAGATGACTTCATGGAGTAATCTCACCGACTCTTCAAGGAAGAGGTTAATCCAGTGCTACTTAAACTGTTCCAGGATAGAAAAGTATAAAGCAGTGTTTGAAATGATTTTTTATGAGTTTGTAATATTATTCAAACCTAAACCATACAGCTAGAAAAAAAATCTGCACGAAAAACCAATTTACCTATATTCATAACAAACCAAATTCAAAGTGTATTAAAGAGTAACACCCTATAAGGAAGTGGGACTCAACTTCAGAGTTTCGAAGTGTTAAGAAATCCATCCATATAATTCACCTTAGAAATAGTTCAAAAGAGAAAAATTACATTATCTCTACCGATGCTGAGCAGATACTGGATGAAATTCAATAGCTCACCTTAATACAAACTTTAATAAACAGAAAAAAATGCTTCTTTATATGACATATGACTATATGAATGTGTATTTAAAATTTTAAATATATCTTAACCTTATCCAAAGTCAGCATCATCCTTAATGAAAAAACAGTAGACTCATTAAATTAAAATCCAACAGGACTTCGGGGGATCTAGATAAGTTGTGTATAAAATTTGTATGGAAATTAAGCAAGCAAGTAGAGCTAAGGAAATTTTGACAAAGAATAGTGATTAGAGCAACAGGTGGCATGGTGGTTAAGGTGCTGGACTCCCATGTCCCAGATCCAGCAGCTTGGAACTCATGCTGGGTACGTGTGCATGCCCAAAATCCTAAGAGAAGAGTGGAGGAGAAGGGATTATGGTGTGGACTTCCTCCTGGGGGGTATTTATTAATTTCCCTCTGTCTCGCTCTCTGTCTCTCTCTAGCGAGTATGCATGCCCTATGGCAAAACTTAAAAAAAAGAAAAAAAAGAATAGTGGTCAGGGGAACCTAGATTTTCCAGGACTTAAACCATATTCTCTATCTGTATTAATTAAAACAGACTGGAGGTACTACATGCTTACACAGATAGTGAAATGTGCCGTAAATCCCAGAATATAAACCGAATACATGAGAGAACTCGTATATGGAAAAGGGATAAAATTGATCTCAAAAAATGAAGCTGGTAAACAGGGCAGCCATCTGAAATATACATACACGTATAAATATGGCTCCTGACCTCACCCCACACTTGAAAATCAGCTCCATATTTTTCAAAGATTCAATACAAATTGAAGCCATAAAATATTCAAAGAAAATATGGAAGAGTTCTTTAAAAATCATCTTGGAGAGAGGAAGTCATTTCTTATAACACAAAACCAACATGAAAAACTTAGAAATTTAACCACATAAATGTAAAAATAGAATTCTGCAAAGGAAAATACAAACGTAAGTCAAAGACACACCACAAGGTAGGAGCAAATATTTGCAACTCATTGCAAATGTAGAGAACATCTACTTCATAACAAGCTTCTGCAAATTAATACAAAACACAGGAATATGAAAGAAAGGTGAGCAAATGATTTCAAAAGCCCGTTCGTGAAACAGGAAGTACCAGAGCTCCGTCACATGCAGAGGGACCCCACTGCACCGAGATCCGTGGTGAGGTGCTGCTGCACGACACTGGGGTCATCTGGGAAGTGGGGGTTTGATTCCTGCGTCAGCCTGAACTCCTCCACTCCTCTCTCAGGAATTTGGACACTCACATATGTGTGCCAGATGTGTTTTTCAGGCCACCAGTTTCGGGACTTGAACACTGTCAGCCATGTGGAACCCAGGCGCCTTAACCAACTGCCAGCTGCCCTGGATACCTACAATTTTACATGCTTCAACTCAGTACTCAGAAATGATCAATACAATGAGTTTCTGAACAAAATATACAACAAGAGCAATGTAAGTGTCAATCAGTAGGGGCTAGCTAATTAAATTATGGTACATATTTTCAGTGGATTACCATGAAGACATTCATTTTTAAATGTATTTTTATTTTTGCTGGTGTGGAATAATAATAGACCACAGTGAAACTGTATGCATAGCATGCCACCGTTTCTGTAAATATAAATGTGCAGCTATGTAAAATAACATAAGCATAAAGTAATATATTCATATATATTTTCCAGTATATGCAAACATTTTCCAGACATGAGACAAAAGAAAATCATTATAATACTTGCCTAAGGGGAGGAGAGTAGGTGACTGGAACCAGAGATAAAGGGACATTCCTGTCGTTTTGGCAAAAAATATTTTAAATAAAGCAATAACCTAAGATATGTGCTTTGGTCATATGTAAGTTTATTTTTTTATTAAATAGATATTTACCAAGAAGTTACACTCTGTGTTAGACATAGTTCTAGGTGTCAGTTGGCAGCCTGAACCAAACATACAAATTTCCTGCTCTCTTGACAACTGCTCTTTAGTAGGGGATGTGATGGTAAATTGTAGGCGACCACTTGACTGGATTAAGCAATACCTGGGGATCCGGTAAAGCATTCTTTCTGGGTGTATCTGGGAGAGTGCACAGGAGGCTGGCATGTGAGTCCTTGGACTGGATAGAAAGAGTCCCGCTCTTGATGTGGGCACCATCCAATCAGGTATCTGGTGGGGACTTGGGCAGAACAAAAAAGCAGAGGAAAGACAATTCCCTCCAACCCCAGGCCTGGGACACTCTGCTGTCCTGCCCTTGAACAGAGAACTCCAGGCTTGCCAGCCTTCAGGCACTCGGGCTTTCAGTGTGAGAGGCACCCATTGGCTTCCCTGGTGCTGATGCCCGTGGTGGCCTGGCATGTTTGGCTAAGAGCCTCATTGGAGGGTAGAGACTCCGAGCCTTCTGCACTCATGGGAAAGGACGCTTCAGCCACTCATCAGAAGATCCTACAGAGTGGAGGAATGGAGAGGCCACAGTATTCTGGGGATGAGTTCACGGCAAAGTGAAAGGGATTCAAGTGGATCTGGACCGAGTGTAAAGAGTCTCCCAGAAAGGTCACAGCAAAACATGCAGACGCACACTTTTAAGTCCAAACCCGAAAGCTGAAGTTTAGAAGCACATGGGTCAGGAGCGCGTTTAAGCACTGAGTGCCAAGTGGGCTAAGTGCCTCCCTCAGGGCAGAAGTCAGTCTGGGGACAGAGGTGGAAGGTGGACTGTATGTGACAGACCTGTCAGGGTTCTGCAGAGAGACAGGACCAACAGGATACACACACAAAACACATGTACCACAGAACATGCACATACACGATAGGTACATGTGTTCCACGTGTCCCAGATGTGTGTAGCTACGTTTTCGATCATTGGGAAAGTAATGACATATTTTTCTGTTTTCCTTTGCAAAAACGCAACAGGACTTTGCTGCCACCCCAACACATTGCACGGAGGCGGACTTACTGTAAAGATGGCTCATGCAGGCAGGGAGCTGCGAACCCACAGTTTGCGGGGAAGCAGGAAACAAAGACAGGAACTGATGCTGTGGTCGCGAGGCAGAATTTCTTCTCTGAAACATCTTAGCTTTTGTTCTTAAGGCCTTCAGCTGATTATACTAAGCCCACCCACATTATCCAAGGTAATCTCTTCTACTGGAGGTCACCCGGTCACAGATGTGGCCCACATTCACTGCATCTCCGTGGCTAGCCTCTAGATCAGCATTGGGTTAAAGCAGTGGATGCCAGGCCCTGGTCAATGTGATGCAGAAAACGAAATAGCACGTCGGATATCAGCTCACCACCCAGGGAAATCCTGAACGTTGAAGGAATTTTGTGGATTCTAGCAACACACGCTAGAAATTTTAAGAGTTGAGTCTTGCAGCTAGTTTTCCTGAATGTTTGCTAACTGCTCATGTTCTTGTGTAGATCCAGGATTCAAAGTTATTCTGCTAATCCACCCTGGGTTAGGAAATCTCATCACAGGGCTTGGCTTCCAGCATGGCAATGAGGAGTCACCCGGAGCTACGTCACCTTACGGAGGAAGAACATGTGGACAGGGAGAGCCCTGGTCACGGTTCTTTTTGAGGCAAGTGATCACCCCTTGGCTTAAGGATGTCTTGTGCCTGTCTGAAAACCGTCGTGGTGTGACAGCATCGACTGTGATGGGGCTCGTTGGGGACAAGCCTGACAACCTCAGAGACCTGGGTGCTGTATCTTTCCCTCAGGTCGGTGGACACGGCTGCACTAGCATGAGAACCCTCCGTCCCACATGGCCACAGAGTTTAGGCCGAGGTTCTCCATTTTTTCCACCCAACACAGTCGAAGTATACAGCATTCTCCCCTTACCAACAGACGCTCCTCGCCGAGGGAACCGGGAAGGATGGCCCACAGGCTCTGAGTGCAGAGGAAGGAAGGGCTACAAACCTCGGTTCTGCTCTGTCTCACGAGAATCATCCCTCCAGGCAATGGAATTGTGCTTAGCAATTCAAACGCGCTCTTCTAGGAGGTCTACTTAAGGTTGGACAGTCCGAATGAGCTCCAGGATTTCCCCTCTTGTCTCTCTGATGTGACCTGTGACACCAACCACAAATGGTGCTCTGATTACTGACCTTGCTCTCACTCATCTGCAGTAGCTTCTAAGCCTCGGCAGTTTATTCACGGCCGTGATCATGTTCCGTGACGACAGTCACAAGCATTCTGTGGCAGACAAAACAAACACACGTTTGGTTCACAGGTGTTCTGAGTCCTGCGGATTGTAGCTGGGCAGCTGCCCCTGGCTGGGTTTGCTCATCTGTCTGCACACAGGCACCGACCAGCAGATGCCTCTGTGACCTTGGCTGGGCATGCTCCAGGCCGGGGTTGGGTGGCTGCTAGCGCGTCTTAGACTTCCTCGTTCGGGATGAGTGAGACAACCCAGCTCTGCTTCCTGCATCTCGTCCTCTGTGGAGCTAGTCTGGGTGTTTCTCATGGAGACTGCGTGAGCTGAAGAGCTGGCAGGAAAGCACAGCTTCCTGAGGCCTAAGCACGGGCCCAGGATATGACCACTTGGCTGCCTTCTACTGCCTCTAGCAGGTAAGACCAGCCCGTCTTCCCCTTTAGTGGGAAACACTGCAAAGTCACATACCCAAAACAAGCAAAATGATTACACCAAAGGATAAGAGAAACGGCCATTGTTACCATTCATATCCCATGGACTCCAAACAGCCAGCATGAAATCAAGTTCTTGCATAGCTTTTGCATCTCCTGGACACCTGCATCAGCTGGCTGTCATCTCTAGTAAGCCAGACACGAAACAGTAGAAATGATTCTCCTTTACCTGTACCGAGAGCGCCGACCTTCCAGGGGCGCGACGGTAACTGGAGTTGGCTCCACTCAGCAGGCCCTCCGCGGTGCTGGCCAACAGCCCGGCCCTCCTCGCTCTGCCTGTCCTGTTGGCCGAGGTCTCAGGCTGTCCCTGCACTGTAGCACCTTAGATCTTACTAATGCTGTCTTGAAGTTACTAGGGTACTGTCCAGGTTTAGCAATTTCAGGATTCTCCGTAACTGTTCAATAAACATAGCTATTGTCATCGTAGTGTAGACTCTCAGGAAGGTGCTGCATTTGGGAGCAGACCCAGAGTTTCTTAGCCAAGTACAAGCGGAATCTCACGATAAACTCTGGTCCCATCAGGAGTGGCCTCCCAGGACAGGACTGGGAATACGGGCTGGTGTGGCTCATGAGAGACGGCTGTTAGGACAGCGACCCTGCTGTCACTGGGCTGTAGGGTGATGTGTGTGTTAGTTATTGCTCATTTTATTTAACTTTCGCACTTCCACAAACTTCATCCATTGTCGTTATCTTATGGCACGTCTCTAAGGCAGGAAGAGGATGCGTCACATATATAAGAACTGCTTTTTCCTGCCACCAGCCGATGTCAGTGCTCACGTGGGTGATTAGTGGCCTCACACAGCTTGCAACAGCTGGTTTGCACAGCCAAAGCCCAACCTTCCGAAGTCAAGGTTTGGAGGCTTGCCACAGGAGGCTAGTTAAACCCGTCACTAACTCCTCGTTTACTATTTTAATAGCTTTCTTGGCATCAGAGCCGGCAGCCTGGATTCACTCTCTTCTCAATATAAAAGGCGTGAGTTCAGCCTTGTCACTCTCTGTACCCTCACTGCGCCTCACACACAGGGGACAGCGGTTTGAAAAGGTCAGATCAACACAGAAGAGAAGTTTATGCAAAAGCACAAATAAAACACGTAGACGTGCAGAGAGGCACTGCTCAGTCCCGGCAGCTCACGAAGCCAGACCATGGCTCGTGCAGACGGCAAGTCTCCTCCCAAGTAGAAGGCGAATGAAGGGCTCCCACTGACTGAGGGCGCAGTGGCCTCTGCCCACGGTGTGCATGGGTGACTGGATTCTGGCCTCACTCAGAGGTAGTGAGACCCCATACACGGAGCCCTGGTCCCTGCTTGTCCCGCTCAGCGGCTTCATCTGCTCCTTGCAAACCTTCTGCTCCGGGAAGCTTGCATCACCCACCCCACTACAGAAAGGAGAGACTGAGTTTCCAGGAGGGGAGGAGGTGACTGGCCCCAGGCCACGCGTCTGTCAGAGCAGAGGCAGACTTTGCACCCAAGAGCCTAATTCCAAGCTCAGGGTTCTGTGAGAACGAGGAGTTTAGTTCACACGGAACTTGGAATCCTGGAGGCCCTCCCATGTCATGATAATGGAAGCGATAGGTCAAGTCCACATATCTCAGGTAATAACAGGTTATCACCCGGACTGGGTGAGGAAGGCTGGGGACACCAGTGAACTCTCTCTGTCACCTGGGAGGAAACGCCTTTTGGAGATGAAAGCAGGCCAGGCAGAGATAACCCTCCACTCCCTGGAAGCTTAGTGCTAATTAGTGGCCCCTCACCCAGGCGTGTCTCTGAGGGACCCCCTCCACTCACGGCTAGTAAGCGGCTGTCCCAGCTCTGGCCTCGATTCTCACTCACCCCAAATCCGCGTTGCTCCAGTTTTATCTATCCTGTGAATTCCTTCCGCAACTAGGATAAATGTCTTGACCATGACTACCTGAAATAAGAGCTAGACCCAACACCAGAGAGCAAGGCCCTTCTGTTAGGGACAAATCCCAGACACTCGGAGTTAGCCACCAAGGGTTCCGATTGCCTGGAGGGATCACCGAGGTCTGGCTTGGGATGGGGGAGATGTTATCTCTTCACTAGTCCTCAGGTTCAGTGAAGGACTATGATCCGGCTTTTAGTTTCCTGGGAACAAAACCTGCCTGGCCATAGTTCGGGTTTCCCAACTCAGAACGCAGTGGGCATGGCAAAGCCCTGGCTGTAGTTTCACGTGTGCGGTATTCTTCCCCTTGCCCCCATATTTCCCACAGTGGAGGGTGTCAGAACTTACCAAGGCACTCCCAGCCCAGGAGAGGCCACGTGACCCGGGTGGATTTCTGATCTGGGGTGACCAGTCTGTTCAGAGCAAAAGGCCAACCAGCCATCAGAGACTGGAGCCTGACCCTGGAACTTTGGCTTAGAAGGTCCCAGTTGGCAAGTGAGGGCAAGACAAGCCGTGGAGACCCTGGCTAACTGGGAGGCCTCTTGTCCCAGCTCTGGTCTCATGGGACCACGAGTTTGGTGCAGTCGCCAGCCTCTGTGTGTCGGGAAGGGCAACATGACATCAGGGCTTCGTGTCTTCCTCCCACTCCCTGCGTCTCTGTTTGGCTCACATTTTGTAGGAGGAAAGAACCTTGCAAAACAGGGTGCTTGTCTCTCTTGTCTCTCTATCTCTCTATTTTTTATACTCATGAAATAGACGAAACAACACAGTAAAACAAAAGGCTAAATGGAACGTCCACGCGGGGTGATGCAGTGATTTGGGAAGGGGAGAGAAAACATCAATTAGGAGAAATGAAGGAGGGAGTAGATTTCAAGTTGACAAGGATGGTGATATGTTCTTGAGTGACTCTTTTGCTTAGCTGCCTTAGAACCAGGAGTAAGGAGTTTGGCATTTACTTAGTATCTCCTTTGCGTTGGGCACTTTGCGTAGTTGATTGCATTTAGTTTAGACTTTTCTCCTTCTCCTTCTCCTTCTCCTCCTCCTTCTCCTCTTCCTCTTCCTCCTTCTCCTCCCTCTTTTCTTCTTCTTTTCTTCTTTGTAGAGGTTTTTGCTTTAGGGCACATGTACTCACCAGGGAGAGATAGATAAGTGAGAGGCGAAGCGAGAAGCCATTCTCCTCTCTGGATCTTGGGCATACATATACACGAGCCCAGCATTAGTTTCAAGCCACCAGGTCTGGGACTTGAACTGCAATCAGCCATGTGGATGCCCAGCAATATAACCGCTATGCCATCTGCTGGCCCTGCATTTGGTTTAGTCTTCTTAACGGCATTGTATAGTGAGGCTACTCTCTCCCACATATGAGGAAACTTCACAGAGCACAGCAACCTGGCCTTGACTCTCCAGGTGTGGAGTTTCAGTCCTAGCTTGTCGGGTTTCCTCAGCACATGAGGACTGACTGAGTGACCCTGGGCCTCACCAGTCTGTCAGTGGTTGAGATAGCCTTTGAAACTTTGGGCACATTTAGGGGACAAGTCCACGGTTCATCTACCATAACCAGGAGCATCTTGCCCACCCTCCCTGCCCCTCCCCACACATCAGTGACACTGGTCCCCCTTCTCAAGAGGTCTTCAAAAAGTTCCTGAAAATCGAATGTTATGAAAAACTTCACATGAGTTTCTTAATTTTTTGCACCAAAATGAACTTGTACTTTAATTCCATTTCCCACGAAATTTTCAGAGTGTATTTTTCAAATTATTTTCAGAAATAGCGTGGTCATTGAACTTTTTACAACAGTCTACAAAATGTAGGATCAGTAACAAAAGTTTGTTCAAAGTCACACAGTGAGGTTCATGCATGAGAAGGCAGGAGACGGAGGAGCCGGCGACAGGACGCCCCCCAAAGCAAGGGCTTCACAGACACACAGACCAGGAAAGGGTAGAGACACAGCCCTGGCCCATCAGCTAGCCCCGGGCATCGGGCTTTCTCTGAGCTCTGCTGCCCATTCACCCACAGGGAGCTCATTTCTGTTAAGGAGCACGCAGTGGTGTCATTCACGGAGCCTTGGTACTCGCTGTGGTGAAAAGCTGTGAGTTTCCTTCTCTTTCCTTACCCCTTCATGCTATCCTGTACCTGGTTTGATCAAACTCATGATTCAGGTGTAACTCTGACATCACCTCCTCCAGGAAGCCTTCCCTGGTCCTTGAATGTGAGTAAAATTCTCCTCGTAGGAGCTTTGTTATCCTTCTGTGCCTCCCATCCCTTTACTGCAATTCACTCATTTGTCTCCCCAACCAGACAGTGGCAGGGACCACGTTCGCCCTGTATGCCACCATGGCTCCAGTGTGTACAGCACATGGTGTGCACTCAGTAAGCAAGCAGAGAATTAACATAATTCGTAAATGAAAATGCAGAGCCATAAGTAGTAGCCAACCCCAGCTCAGGGCAAGTAAAAAAGGGACAGTAGCCGATACCTGTGTCCTGAGTGGCCAGAGGCACCAGGACTGTTTCGGGGGTTGTCATCCCGTTTCAGAGGCTGAATGTCAGATAATACATCACCCATCCCATTCAGCAGAACCAGAGCTGCATTCCAAGGCTTAATTCTTGTATCGCAAACCCCTGCTTGGACCCCACAATCTGTTGGGAATCAGAGTAGAAGGGAAACGAGAGGCCAGCTCGCTCCCCTCCCCAGCAGAGCAGGTCTCGGGTCCCCTGGAGCTGGAGCAAGTGGCCTCTGGCCTGGTTTCAAGGTCCAACCCCGGGGTGGCTGTGCGGATGGGGCTGGCCCTTCACGAGGCTCGTCCAGCGTGGAAAGCAGATCCCTAAAGCTCAATTCTGTTTGTCAGCATTTCTCGTTCTGCCCACTCCACATTTCTCCACAATCTGGAGGGAGGCCAGCAGCTTCTCACAACCACGTTCCTCCCATTCCCCGAGAACAGCCAACCGACCGCTTGTCTCTGTGATTTTCAGCACTTCCGTGCTCCCCTCCGAGGGCCTCTTCCCCTTCCCTCAGTGAGCTGAATTCCCTGATGGCAGCCCTAATTATAAGCATATGCTGTTGCTCTCAGCTACACTGGGCTTGCAAGCTTTAGTTTTAAAGACAAAAAATAGAAAGTCGTTTTCTGGAATACATTTTCTGTGAAGGGGCAGTTTCTGCGGACAGAAAAGTGATTGTCAAATGCATCCTCGGAGCAGATTTGCATTTTAAGCAAGAGTTGAACCAGGTAGCGATGCCAGGCGATTACCACACCAGCAGAATGGTGTTCATAGCTTAGTGCGAGGGTCACAGGGTTCGAATCCCAGAGACTTGTTGGCTTACAGACTGTAAGTGGAGAACTGAAAACTCCAAAATACTTCCTAGTGGTCGTTACAAATCGGGCCAGGAATTAGCCCCCAAATCAGACATTTGTGTAGACAACGTTGACTTATTTAACTCGTTGGAGCCCTCTTCCCACTCGGTGTGCGAAGAGTTGGAGCCCTTCCACACGCAGTTCTCACCGTCCCTCACAGCCGAAGAGAACACAGGTCCGTCAGCCTTAGGCGTCCATCTGGGGTTGAGCAAAGACATCTGAAGACAGTGGGTAACTGCAGAAGATCTGAAGACAGCAGGACTGGGGCAGCAGGTGGCGCGGTGGCTAAGGTGCTGGACTCCCACACGGTTGGCTGTGGTTCGAGTCTCAGACCTGGCGGTTTGCTCTCTCACTTGCCCTCCTCTCTCAGGAAGCAATGAAGCACACACACCCTTTAGCAAATGTGGTTTTATTGTAGCAAAATATAAGACTAGTCCTTTACAAGTTCATAAATGTATTCTCCTTATCTTAAAAATAGATGAATAAAATTAAATAAATAATTATTTTTAAACGTCTTCCTTTTTTTAAAAAAAAAAGATAGAACTTTATTTCAGAGAACTATGAGCTATCAGAGCCAGAGAGAATGTCAGCGGCTGTGTGGTCCAGGGACGCTGACAGCTCACATCTGCGTGACCCCGGACGGTTTCCAAGAGCTTGCTGTGGAAGCTGGGCTGGGGCTCGGCAGGAGGCAGAGCTGACGGGTGAGCACTGCTCACTGGAGAAACAGGCAGGGAGGACAGGCAGACGGACACCATTGGCTCTCCGGTGGTCCCAACCGCACGTTTGCAGACGAGTGACCTGAGATCTAGGAAGAGTGAAGTGTCCGAGAGCAGGCTGGACTCCTGACTGGTTTCCTGCTCTCCTTCCAGGCCTCTGCACTTATTAATTCATTTAATAAATATTTACTGAGTGCCCGCTTTCTGGCAGGGGCTGCTCCTCTTCGGCTCCTAGTTACTAATGCAGATGCAGCGCCTTATCTTTTGCGAAGGATTGATGTCCTTGGTGAAGCCCTGAAACTTTAATTTCCTGGCCTGCACTGTCAAATGCTTGTCCTGTAGCAGGGGCTGGCCTCCACACACACCACTCCATGAACCCGACACAGTGAGGTGCAGTGAGGGAGACCGGGGCTCTAGAGCTGGACTTCCGGGGCCCTGCTTGCCACTTTGGTTCACTACATAAAAGCAAGTCACACAGGGCCTCCTCATTTCCAAAAGGGTTCATGGTGATAGCGTTTACCTCATAAAGCTGCCGCAAAGATTAGGTAAAAAAGCCCTCAAAGCAGTGTCCGATAACGCCAGCTACAGGTGAGTGGAGATGCCATGGCCGGTGGCACTGAGCTGCATGGGAGTGTCCCAGTCACATCCGTGTGGGCATGTGCACGCCTGTAATCCCGGCCCACCAGCTGGAAGTGGGTCACGGCAAGGAGGCCCTCGTGGGCATGCCCCCACTTTCTCCCTCTTGAGAAAAAAGAAGCAGGCAGGCAGGAAGACGGGCCTTTGACAAGTGTCCCATAAACGTCGGTTACTGTGATTTTGAAGTTCCTCTCACAGTAGCCCTGACGGTGAGCATGACCAGCAGCCGTGTGGAGAAGCAGCGCCTGGTAGTCACCATGACTGCCATGTGAGGTTGGGCGTCAGCTTCTCGGCAATGGACGGAGCAGTAACCCAGCAGTGCTGCCATGGCCACTGGGGACCGAGCACCAGAAGGCGAGGAGCACTGTCGTCCTCCCCTCAGCGTGGCTGTCAGTGTCTAATTTTCCAGATCCACATAGTGCACAAATATACATGCATGTTATGTATATGCATAAATACCCGCATTTGCCGACACACCTTCTGGGAGCCTGTGCTGGATAACCACGGTTGCCCCTTACAGGGGAAACTCAGAGCCTGGGCAAGGCAGGCTCACTGCGCGCCCTTTTGTTCACTTGG